GTACTTTAAACCCTTCATTACGTGGGCTGGCAGGGGTCCTGGCGCACTCTATATAAGCCACCCCCCTCCACAGGCAGAAGGGTTCGCACCCCTGTAACTCATATACACATAATCCACTCGACCGCCTCCGGGCTCCGAGACGTAGGGCTTTCACTTCCTCCGAGAAGGGCCTGAACTCGTACATCTCTTGTGTTTACAACCTCTCCATAGCTAGGACCTTGCCTCTCCATACCTACCCCCACTCTACTGTCGGACTTAGAACCACGACACTCGTCGCTCGAGTACCGGAGGCTCGGACGATGAATGCCGGTGCGCGCGTGGGTGACTGGGCCGGGCGGCACCATCGGAGCCACCGGCGAGGCGGCCGGCGAGGCTCGCCGGCCGGCGAGGGGGCCGGCGTCAGAGCCGGCGAGGTGGCTGGCGTCGAGGCCGCGGAAGAGGCGGCCGAGCCTACAGCGCCTGGTCCCGCGGCGCCCGAGTCGGGGCGGCGAGTGAAGGCGAGGCGCCGGCTGCACCGTCAGAGCCGGCCGAGGAGGCCGAGGGGGCGGGCGGCGACATGAGGGCGCGGGGACCGCCAAAGCCCGGAGGCGGTCCACGGGCCAGACGTGACCGTCCACCTGATGAAGTCGTCGAAGGGCCGCCGGTGGCCGGCGATGGCGAGACGACAAGGGGTACCTGCTGCTGAAACAGAAACACCATCTCATCAAAGTAAATGTGTCGGGATGTGAAAACACGATGGGAGACGGGATCATAGCAGCGATAGCCCTTGGTGTTAGGTGGGTAGCCAAGAAAGATGCAGGCGACGGAGCGGGGTGCAAGCTTATGAGGCGCAGTAGCGGCGATGCTAGGGTAGCAAAGGCAACCGAAGATGCGAAGGCCATCATAAGAGGGGGGTGCACCGAAGAGAAGATGATGAGGTGTAAAGTTCCCGCGAGTACGACATGGACAGATGTTGATGAGGAGAGAGGCGGTGGCGAGAGCGTCAGGCCAAAAGTGCAGAGGCACATTGGCATGAAAGAGAAGAGTCCTAACGCAGTCATTGAGAGTGCGAAGGATGCGCTCAGCACGACCATTCTGCTGCGAGGTGTACGGGCAAGTAAGACGAAAAATCATGCCATGTGTGGTGAGGACATTACGAACAGCGGTGTTGTCAAACTCCTTCCCGTTGTCTGTCTGCAACGCAAGAATGGGACGACCAAACTACGTGAGAACATAAGAGTAGAAAGCGGCGAGAGTGGATATAACATACGACTTGCGGCGCAACGGGAAGGTCCACACATAATGCGAAAAATCGTCAAGTATGACAAGATAATAAAGAAAGCCCGTATTACTTGCAACAGGAGATGTCCAAACATCACTATGAATTAACTCAAACGAGTACGATGCAACAAAAGAAGAAGCCCTAAATGAAAGACAAGCATGTTTGCCGAGGCGACATGCATGACATGGGTGATCCTCGTTCTTATTACACGTGAAAGAAAAACTCCGAAGTATGTGGCGAAGGGTGGCAGGATTAGGATGACCCAAGCGAGCATGCCAAAGATCCACTCCCGTGGCGAGAGCGACAGGGGCGGCGGAAGTGGTGGAGGTGGCGGAGTGAACCGGGTAGAGCTCATCGGGGCTGTCACATCGGTGGAGCACCATCCGCGTGCGAGCATCCTTAACAGAAAAACCACATTCGTAAAATTCAACGGTGACCGGATTTTCACGTGTAAGGGAATGAACAGAAACAAGATTTTTAATGAGTTCAGGAGAAACTAGAATATTAGACATGGATATAGGAGTAGAGTTAGACGGAAAATATGTATGACCAATATGAGTGATGGGAAGGGAAGAGTCGTCACCGACGGTGATGCGGTTGGAGATGTGGACAGGATGAGCGGTGTGGAGGTTACCGGGGTATGCCGCCATGTGAGCGGTAGCGCCGCTGTCCATGTACCAATCGCCGCCGCTGGTGTAGCTGGACGGGGAAGGAGCGTTGTGGAGAGACGCCAAGAGGGCCGGGTCCCACGGTGCCGGCGGGAGAGGCGGCGCGGCCGTCAGGGGCAGCAGCGGCAGCCCAGCTAGCGGCGGATGCTGACCATAGGGCGCCGCGTAGGGCTGCGGCGCGGCGTAGTACGCCTGGTGTGGTTGAGGCCGGGTGCCGAGAAGGCCCGGGGCAGGGGCCCGAGGAACCGGCATGGAGTAGGCG